AGCAAATCAGTCCCCAATGCAATAAAACAAATTGTATACAAAACTTTGTGTATATGTTTTTATGTACATTTTTCTGGGGAGGGGGTTGATAGTTTTCCTCAAACTCTCAAACAGATCCATGACCCAAAAAAACTTAAGCACCACAGCTCTATAGGGTCTCCACAGAACCCTGTGATTCTGCAAAACTCTACACTTTCATACAGAAACTTAAAAGATAGGGAAGGGAAGGAAGTAATGGATATTTCTTGGTCATCTCAAGATTCAGTGTTACCATACAGTGCATAGCCCAGAATGTGCATGTATACAGAATTAGTCCATAGAACTGAAGACAGATGGCCACTGAAGGATACAGTACTCTCAACAGTCAAAGCCACAAATGGAGTAATATCAGAGTCTGGGAAAGTCTGGACAGAGTAATTGTTGAAGCCGATTGTATCATCAGGGAAGTCTTGGGCAGTTCAGTGAAATGCACATGCTTTGGTTCAAGCACAGACTGACTTGCCATGTGTGGCACTCCTTATTTGGTTGTTTGACTCAAAAATCCATGAACATTCTAATATATCAATGTTGAATTAGAACCAGTGTTCCCTCTAAGCTGAGTTAGTGTGAGCTAGCTCACAGTTTTTTAGCCTCTGGCTCACACATTTTTGTCTTAGCTCAGAAAGGATGGATCCAGAACAAACTAATTGATGCAGGAGCCAAATCACTCGCTCACAACTTTAATCCCAGTGGCTCACAAAGCAGAATTTTTGCTCACAAGATTCCATAGCTTAGAGGGAACATTGATTAGAACGTTCATTGATTTGTGAGGATTCTTATGTACTTTTAAACTATCTGCCTATCTCTTGGAGGCTTAACTGAATGTGCCCTTTCTACAGCTAAAAGATTGGGACCGATTCTGCAAAAGCAGTTGCGCCCTCAGTCTGCCATTTCCCCTAGTTGTACTGCTCAGTTTCCCACTATTTACTGTGTGGCCACATTTTAACCCACATCTCCCCCCAATTTCTCCTGCATCTTCTTGATCCTAAAAAATAAGAATCAAGAAGACGCAGGGGAAATCGGGGGGAGATGCGGGTCAAAACACAGTCGCACAGCAGATAGTGGGAAATTGCACAGTACAACTGGGGGAAACAGCATACCAAGGGTGCAACAACTGCTTTTGCGAAATCAGTCTCATATTACAACACTGGAAAGATAAAAGCCCACCTCCAATAAATGGATTGAGGATCTTAGAACTCTATCAACATTTGAACACATGACATATAGACAGCAACTTCATATGGACTTGTTTTTAGATATTTGGGAATTATTTATAGAGAATTATGTATAGATCCACCACCACTGTTATAATTTTATCTTGTCTTTATGTATTGTTTTTTGTTTTCTTTTAAAAATCTTGCGTAATTGTTGGATTTTAGGTTTTTCCCCCTTGTTCTTTTTCTTCTGCTGTTTTGAAATAAATAAATAGTGTATTTAAAAAAGAAAAAAGAATAAGGAACAAGCTAATAGAATGGCTGAAGGAAAAGGAAACTCCCCTACCTTGTAGAACAATAATAAATTTCCTTCAAAGAGTTTGGGGTTTCATGCTTACTCCTCCATCTGGCAAATTTCCTGTGAAGTAAGTCTGGGTGAATAAGGGACAGAGTAACCGACCCAAGCTTCAGGGCTGAATGGGGATGTACATACAGGTCTCCCTAATTCTAATCAGACATATTTTCCTGACCTGAAACAACCCCAGGGAGCTGCAATTTATCTCTGTTGGGGAAACTCAAGTGTAGCCATTAGGACATACATTTCCTCAGCAGGGCAGATAGTGGTTCTCCAGGGCCATTGCAGATCAGGGAAATGGTCCAGGGGGAAGGCCCCTAATCCCACATGGCATGTTTCTGATCCAAACTGGGCTCCAGCACTCCTGGGAACTGAGTTCAGAGTACAGAACTTGCAATGCACGTTTGACCACCAGGACCCAAGGAGGACATGAGGATAAGGCACTGTGTCTTTAGACCCTTGGAATCTTATGAAGGGCTGGGCGTAAGCTTGAAGCATACTGTACAGGGGCACAGAAAAATAATTGCTAAATTTATTCATTAGGACATTTAATGGGGTATCAGCTGCAGGCACTTTGGGAGGGGCTTATTTAGGGTTTTAATGTATGTTACATGTGTTTAAATTTGGAATTGCAAACCAGCTTGAGCCACAAAGAAAAGAAGGGGGTATAAACATTTTAATATTCAATACATAAATACTCTTGTTACTCAGCCAGATCACCCTAATTGTCAGTGTGTGATGAGATGGGGTGGCAGCAATTTCAATCCTTGTCATGTGCTGAAAGACTATGAGATGGATCAGCAGCCAGATGCCCACTGCCTAGTGAAATGTCCCAGGGATTCACTGCACAGAGAAGGCTGATTGTCAATCAGGTTCCCAGTCAGGGTCTTTAACAAAGGCAACAGCACTGCCTTTGCACACAATCTTGTTTAGCCATATGAAAAAAATGCTAATTTAAAAATAAAATAAAATCGACTGGGGATATAGAAGCAAGACCTTTTTGACTAGGGTTGTCGTTTTCTTTGGCATAAGGAAGCTGCAGGGGTCTAATTCTCATCGGGAGTTCTGCAAGACTTGATAATAGTGGTAGCCACGTGCCAGTGTGAAGTCCCACTCATGGCCTGGGCTGCTTGGCTGTCCCCTGCCCTTGTGTGCAAGCCTGCCTGATGCATCTTCCTCCTGAAAGCTTTTGCGTTTAGATCTAGAGGGTGCAGGTGTAGTTACCCCCTAGCACCAGACAGCTCATCTCCTTCATGCAACCCCAAAAGACAGAATCCATCATAGCAAAGAGAAATATTTACATGGCTTTGTCTACTTCCAAGTAAATATTATGTTCTACCCTCAGAGAACACAGAGCCAAGTTACATTTATGAAATCAGAGATTAAACTTCCTAACAATTATCAGGCTGCGTCAATCCAGTCCAGGGAGACTGGAAGGCTATCCACACAGCTTACTGCTGTAGATAGACTCTGCTTCAGTAAGACACCTGGAGCTGAAATTCTCCTCCTTCCTCCCCCATAAACACACTTTAAAAGGCCAAGAGCCCTAAGAACCAGGTGCCCCACAGACATCAGGTCCCTGGCAAAAAATGCAAGCAATGCTCTAGGCCTCTTTGAAACAGCATTGAGGAACCGTGCAGGAGGGAAAGAACTTTCCCTTGGAGGGGGGAGTTTGTTTAATGGAGAGTAAGCAAGTTGTCAGGGAAGATTCCAAGAGCTCAAGTGGGAATAAACAGCTAAGGGGATTGTGTTACCAAGAATGAGAAATGGCTTGAAGGGATCCTACTCAAACATCAGCCAGGCTCAATTCATCACAGCTAAGTTTCTTTTTCAAGAGGTTAGGACAGCTCCTAGTTTCATGAGATTCTATCCTGCTAAGAGGGGTTCCATTACCTACCAAGGTAAATTGGACATTTGTGTCACAAAAACCTGAGAAACTTGGGGAAAATGTTATTCCCAGCCTCTTTTCTGAGGATTCATGGCAACAACCTGAATACCTCTTGGTGGGGATTTTCACTGCCACCCACTGGCCAGAGGTGGGAGAACTGGACCCTTCCGTTCCATCCTCTCACTGGCCAGACAAGACATAATCCATTTACGAGCTTCATGCAACTCTCCCATTTACCTCACAGCCTGTCAGTCATTTCAGGACCCATTTCATGGATAATTCAAACAACACCCGTAACAGTAACAGCCACTCAACTCCATCTGGGCCATTATCTCTTTTATATTTGCTCTTTAATATTTACTGGGTTCACCCAAAGTGCATGTGCCGCTTTGGCTTCAAGGACACCAAATTTAGTAATTGCTCCATCCCTTCTGCTGAGGCCAATGGGAGCAGAGAGAGGGGAAAAGAACTTTTTAAAAACATACACACACAAAAATCTGCATCTCACACCAAAGAACCCATGTAAAAGTCGACAGAGAGTTTCTGCTAACCCTCCCCTTCTGCCCCCACCCAAGCAAATCTTGCAGAAATGCAATGGCAGCTGTCTCTGAAGAAAAGCGCATCCCAATTCTGAACTTCTCAAGAAGACTTATGTCAGAGATGCGAAAGCAGAATTTTTGAATTAAGGGACCACTAAGATCCTACAAAACAATTCTGTCTGTCCCCAGACAGCCCTATATATTTTAATCACTACATGATTAAAAAGGAGAAATAATTTTTTTTAATACTATGTCTCTGCTTGGATGTGAAGGGACTGGGACATGTGGCAAAATACTTGTTTGATCCCTAGGCCACTGCCTAAAGAACTGAATGGCTCTGGACAATAAGGAAAATGCCAACCCTTGCTTAGGCCTAGGAAGCATGAAATAAGGGACAATTATTTATGAGGAGCAACATCTTTCATTTAAAAGACATTGGAGCACTTTGGCCTCAGCTGAAACCGAGTGTTGTCAGTTAGGATGGTGGGATAATAGTCCATGAAGAGATGTTGTGAGAGTAAAAAGAATATATATACCTCATGCAGCAGCTATTGTCCACTTCCAATTAAAACATATGTGTTAATTCTTAGTGCTAACAGGGTCGTAGTCATAGACCAAGACTTCCCTCTGCAATCATAGCCCAAAAAATGGATAGACAAAGGAAGCCAAATCCATTCCTACTGTAACTTAAAATCATCTAGCTTGGAGAAACAGAATTCCCCAGTTCTTCTCACTATTTATGTAATTGGCACCAGACGTTAGTTTAATATAAGATATGGGCAATTTGTTTACACTCTGCCATTCTCAAGCACTGGCGGGATCCCAGTTGTGCACCAAATGAGGAGTTTCTGTCTAGGTCACATTTTAATTTGTGACACATTCTTAATGACCTTGTGCTGAGTATTTAGGATATTGCCATGATTTCTTCAAAGCTTTGTAATAGGTTGCCTTGCACCGATAGCCTCTCTTGTCGTCACAAAACAAACAGCGTTTCTGTACCAGAGTTTCAGCAGATGCAGCCTTACCTGTTAGTGTGAGATTGGTGTAGGTGTTGGAGAACTGCTCCTTGAGGAGAACCAGGTGCATCTGAGCTGCCTTTTCCCTCTGCAGCTCTAACATGATGTCTGGGTGCTGGGCGATCTTGCAGCCTTTCTGCTTATCCAAGGCAATATCACTGCGAATGATGTCTATGGTAAGAAACAGTAAGAGAGGAAGAAACAAGAGACTCAGGTCGTGGTCACACGGATGTTTAGTGCGGGACTCGCAGCTGATTTCTCCCGCAGTAAAGTTTCCTGTCTACATTATTTCCCGGACTTGCAGCTGATTTCTCCCGCAGTAAAGTTTCCTGTCTACATAGGCAAACCCGCTTCCCGGTCCGAAGCCGGCAGACTCCCGCGGTTTCTGAACTTTTATCCGTGGTTTTTTTGACACCTGTTGGAACAGGTGTTTTCTGACATCTCGCGTTTTGTATCTGCGGTTTTGGTATCTGGACAGCAATCCGCCGTGACCGCGCTACCCTCCCCCCCGTTGGTTTGTTTGTGTGTGTGTTTCCGGTTTTAGCTATGCGCTTGTGCAAACAGGCGCTAGCTTTTATTTTGGTCTTTTAGATCCCACCGAGGTCGCCGTCTGCGCCCAGCTGTCAAACGAGAGAAAAAACCTGCTGAGCACTGACAGAGCCGGGAACTTTGTTGGGAGAAAGCGAGCGAGTTCAAAGCTGCTCCCGGGTGTGTGCGCCGGCTGGCCGGCCAGCTAGCCAGCCAGAGCCGCTCTCGCTCTCCTCTCCCAACTCGTTCTACCCACACCGCCTCCCCACCCGGCCGGTCCCTTCTCCGCATGGCGGCGGCTGCACATACACAGACCCACTCCCTCGCCTGCTGCTTCTCCCTCGCTTATCAGTGCAAGGCGCCGCGGGAGAGAAAAGGAGGCGGGCTGGGAAGGGAAGCCCCCGCTGCTGCCGGGCAGGGGAGGAAGCCCGGGCAGTGCCTCTTGCCCGAAGGGGAGTGAAAAGTTAGGTGACAGGGTTCGCGCCTCCTAAACCTCTCGCCCACTCCGAGTAGGGTCTGGCACTGTGCTTGGGTTGGGGGGGGGTGTTTGCCGCCAGCGGGTAGGAGAAAGGACAGCGAAGGTCTTTTTATTAGTTTGTATGTACACCCGAGCGCATAGGAAGATGAGCGCATGCCCAGATTAAAAAAAAACAAAAAAACCAAAAACGCCTGTATGAACAGTACTTTGCACGAAGGAAGCGGAAGACAGAGGGACCGTCTGACCACCTCCACCTCCAAGCGATATATATCTCAAGCGATATAAAATGTCACGGATATAAGAATTGCGGGAAAACTACCGCAGCTTCCAGCTGCATCAAAGAAGCCAAAGCCAGGACTATTAATCCCCACCTGCCCCTTTCATGTTTGCACTTTCTTCCATTTCATCTTTTGCAATCATCTCAGGTCTCTGTCAGCTTTCAACAACAGGGCTCTTCACTCTCCATTCTTGCCTTTCTTCTTGTGCAAGAATTTGCCTAGATGTGGCCTGTACAGCTTGTGACCCCCTAAGCCTGACACAACATACCAGCTATGTACTGAGGATTGTAAAATGCTTTGTCAGCAAACTACTTTTTGCACTGTTGTTGGACCTGTACATCTTCCTAAGTGATGCTTACCATTATTTGCCAACAATACCCTTCTGGGATTTACATCAGCCAAAGAGGTCTGTGTCCATGCAAGAGAATAAATGGATATAAGTTTACATGAAAAATGGAAAATTCAGGAAGCAGGGGGAGAGCATTTTAACCCCTTTCGCCAAAAAGACTTGACAGGGAGACTCTAGCATGAAATCAGAAATTGTTTGCAAAGTCAATTCTATTTAATTTAGACTAAGGCTGCGATCATACGCACAATTAGACCCGCCATAGGTGCAAATGCTGGGCAGATTTAAAGGTCGTGATCAGACAACAACATCTGGGAAGCGCCCCACAACCGTTGGCAACCCATTCTGCTCCACCACAGAAGTGGAGTTAAAAGACACCAGGGAAAAAAACCAGTAGTAAACGGGTTGCTACAGGCCACGGACAGACTTTCCAGTGTCTGATCACTCCAGCACACTCTCATGGCATCGGGATGGTCTGATCAAGCCATCCCGACTCCGTGCTGTTGTTTTCCCCCCCCTTCGCAGTATGCGCATCATCACAAGCTCCATAGGGAGCCCTCGGTGCGGAGGTGCGATTCATTGATCCTTCAGATAAGCACATGGGAGGGAAATGGCACGCAAAAAAACCAATTCACCCCCCAGTTGCATCTGATCATGCGCTGACGGACTGCACCCACGGCTTCAAAGGGAGGTGTAATTGTGCACGATCCCACGTCAACATCTGGCCAGCGTTTCGCACCTGTCCCCGATCCGGCCTTTCCCCCGAAGAGACGCATCAAAAATGAACCATCTACCTAGCTGGTTCTTTCAGGCCTCCCGCATCAAGGCCAGCCGTGGGATCGCTGGCCTGTCTTTCTGCCGGCACATCCCCTGCTCCTGCCTGAACTGCACATGCTCAGACATGCGCAGTTCGGCATTCTCCCGTTCCCCTCCGTCCCTTCCCCCGGCATCTGATCGTGCCAGGGAGGGAATGCGCCGCGGCTCAGGGGATCAATGTGACCCCGCTGCGGCGTGTTTCTTTTGGTGCGGCTTTCAAAAGCCGCGCTTCAGTCCGTCCCTTTCCCCCCCGTGTGGCAGGGACCTGTGTTGCTATCCTGCACACACTTGGCTCTGCATAGAAATATTACAAGTATACTGCTACCATTTGAATTTCTCTCATCATTTGGTTCTATGTCACATACTTCTCGCCTCTGTATTCATTTATGCAGGGGTCATTTCGTAGAAAAAGAGGTGCAGGAGCTCATTAGCATAACTTATTTGCATATGCCACACCCCCGACATCACTGGAAGTGTGTCAGAAGGCAACACCCACCACTTAGGCTCCACTGGACTGTTTTGAATTGCTAGCTATTGGGGGGGGGGGAATGTGCAGATCTGTCCTCACAGAGGAGGGGGAGCTTGTACCTGAATAAAACTTGGTCTTAAAGGTGCCACTGGACTGTTTTGGGTTGCTAGCTGTGGGCGGGGGGAGAACGAGCAGATCTGCCCTCACAGAGGAGGTAAAGCTTGTACCTGAAGGCGGGCGGGGGGGGGGGCTCTGCAACTTACCTGGCTGCTTCTTGCTCCTCGTGGCCCAACTGAGGGCTGCTGGGAGCAGGGGGTGGGACTTGTTGCATCTGCAAATCACTGGTTTGGGCTCCTTACTACCGGAGCTCTGCTCCTGTGTGCTCCCACAGGAAATGACCCCTGCATTTATGTATACATCCATACACACCCTTCTGCCAACCAAGGATTAGACTTAATGCTTCTAACAAAGTGGGCTCTAGTCCATTAAATACATAATGCATTTGTTAAAATCCCATAGAAAACAGTTGCTTTTCCTTAAAACAGATTAATATGGCTAATGCAAGTTAAGCAGTAACCTATGGATGTACAGTAGGAAACTTATGAATGAAGATCCAACCCAAACCTTATATCATTCAGAAATAGCGAAAGGGTTCCTAATTCAGCCACAATTATTTCTAATATTCACCAGCCACTGGAAGTTTTCCAGTCTAATAGTGAATCTGATACCTTGCTGTCTGATTTTGATTTCCCTTACAGAATGGGGAGAGAGCAAGTCACTATCAAGTGATATATGATTGTGATGCTGTCCAGCTGAAAGAGGATCAGGATCATCCCAGCTGGTGCTTTGCCCTCTGCATTTCCACTTTCTGTTGACAAATATATCACTTCACTGGCTTGGGGAGGGCTTTCTGATTATACATGGGGCTTACACCTGAAGTATTCTGTTAATTGAGTTTGGCCTATCAGGATCAGGTAGGAAAAAAGAAGAAACTAAAATAAGACAGATAGGGTTGCCAGCTTTGGGTTAGGAAATTCCTGGAGATGTTGGGGGTGAAGCCTGAGGAGAAAGGGGTTTGAGGAGGGGAGGGACCTCAGCAGGGTACAATGCCATAGAGTCCACCCTCCAAAACAGCCATATTCTCCAGAAGAACTGGTCCCGGTTATCTGGAGACCAACTGTAATAGCGGGAGATCTCCAAGTCCCACCTGGAGATTGGCAACCCATAAGACATTCCCATCGGGGAGCTTTGCTGTTTTCTGAGCAGCTTCTTTCTTTGTGAATTGTGAGTTTTGCCCTGTATTAATTCTGCCCCATTTTAACAACTTTTATCCTATACTTGCCATAATATTTGTTTAATAAACTGTTTCTTGTTCTTCATGCCTCAAATTCAGCCATACATTTTTTTAAAAAATTCAGCCATACATCAGAGCATGCCTTGACAAAAGAGGGAGTTGCCTGGAGGTCTAGTAAAGCGCTAGAACCATAGTGGTGGCAGTCAGCTTAGGCCCTTGCTTGCTCCCAGCCTGAAGAGGGCAGGAGGGAAGGAAGGATGTCTGTGGCAAATCTGCTCAGCCTCACATCATTGCATAACACCTTATAATCAGGATATGAAAAACATGGGCATCTGCAGGGAAGAGCAAGGTATTTCATATGGAAGAGATGAGCTGCTGCCCACAATCACTTTCAGGGAATTTTCAGAAATAAGTAGACTCAAAATTCTATAGACTACTAACTTATGTGATTTTCTCACTTCCTTTCTTACCCCCCCCATCCCATGTTATCATTTAAGATTCTCATGTATGAATAATACTGATTAGTGCAGATAACAGCACATACATTATCCATCTATACCTGTATATTGTTCACTCTATGAAATGGGCCTTACATGTTCACACATGTTCACAAAGTGTTCTTAGCCTTGTCTTTGGACCAACAGAAACCAGAAAACCTGTGAGATTTGTCCTATCATTCCTTTTTCACATATTAATTTTACCTATTTAGTTCAATGTATACTTTCTGAGGTATTCTGTTATTTGCCTCCTCACAAGAATAAAAACTACCCTGACCCAAGTGACGGACTTCACTTTTTAAAAGCTTGTAAGTGCTGTGTAAACAGAAAAGGACTGTGAAGGGTTAACTCTTCACAGGGTCAGAGAGCCTTGAGTGACAGGCTGTTCCAAGAGATCTGATTAGTTAGCATCAGCTGAGCAGAGAAAGACTTCTGACCTGGATGCTGAGGATAATTCAGTCTGAT